TCAAAAGCTAATAAACTTGCTCTCTTTTTTTTGTTCTAATTTAGTTTCTATAACGAAGTTGTTACACGGAAATTACGTTACCTTAATGGGTATAATGGCTGTTAGATAACATTTTTTTCTCATATTTTTTCTATCAACACATTAGATTCTTTATCACTGCTGCCCGTTAATGTTGCTGTCGATGACTGTGATAAAAGTGGCCGTTTTAGTAAAAAGAAGAAAAAAAAGCAATCTGAAAAAGATGGCAAGAACGTTTTTAGAACGTTGAAGTTTTTTTTTGCATTTATCCTTTTCTTTTTTTTTCTTTTGCTTATTTTTTTTTTAGCTAATAATTATATGTCAGCAACATTTTTGTTATTCTGCTCTTTAACGGCATCTTTTTTCTTCCTTCTCCAACTTTTTTTCTCCTTCCTTAATTGAAAGAATACTTACAAAAATTTGAGTGGAATTACAAGCAACAAAGATCAGAAGTTGATTGATCCGCCGACGGGTTCTTGTTGATCAGTTAGCTATCTTAAAAGCTTTCAACAAGTAGGGAGCCGTTGATTTTTGAGATAAATGGAAGATTTTTTTTTTTACACTGTTCAGAGTCGTTGCTTTGTCGCTGTTCAATAATACCGCTAAAAATAATATTTACTTTTGATTTATCAGAAATGTTTTTTCTTTTTTTTTTGCATTTAGTCACTTATTTTGCTTCCTACAATACTGATTTCTGTTTTCTAGTCTTTCTGGTGACAAACAAAAACTGTGACACAGAGTTTGGTATGACGATGGAGGATATTGATCTGAAGACATTTGAGAAGCGTTTAGATGAGATAATTGATCAGGTTGCCGGTGAATCGGTGGATTTGATCATTGAACGACCACGGTATATACACGCCGTTATGGTGATTGCTGAAGACGATGACGAAGGCCAAATTATACAGGTGAGTTGTATTGAAATTTTTTATGTTTAATACTGTTAACTGTTACTCAATAACATACGTTTAACAAAAAAAAAAAAAGTTCTAAAAAAAAAATAGACAATTTTATTAACTCGTTATAATTTAGAACAAACTGAATTGCATTAGCTGAAATAAATCATGAAAAAAAAAAGAAAGAATTGTTTTCATGACGAAAAAAAGTGTGTAATTGATTTTCGGATATATAAAAATGTGTTTTGTTTAATAAATTGTTGTGTGTACATTTTTTGTAAACTCTTAAAAAAAACTGTCAACAATTTTTTGCACATCAAATAATGTGTAAGAAAAGTAAAGAGAAGAAAAATTTTTTATGCCAATATTTTAAAAAAGTAAAATATTAGCTGAAAAACAGAAGCATTTTTTTTTTCCTTGTCTTCTATTTTTAAGGCATCTCGAGTCAAAAACATTGATCCAATTACATCGACCACTGAAACGTTCAATGATTTCCAAGAGAATACTTCAGTAAACACATATTGGTAACTGTATTTTTTTTGTTCAGACTTTTACTCTTTATTTGTGCACAAAAATATTTTAACCAGTAGTTTAACCAATTTTTTTTCGTTGTTGTTGTTGTTATTTTTTATGACAAAATTTTAAAAAATAAAATTTTCAAAAACCAACTTAAAAGTGTGTTTCTGTTAACTGACATCGAAAAAGAATAACATTTCATATAAACAGTATCAATTTTTGTTTTTTGCAGTAAATCGATAACAAAACAAACTGTAAAACATACCGATGACGACGATATTGAAGTGGCAATCAGACGTCTGGAACAGTCCAGAGATTTATTAAACGAAAATTGACAGGTTTGTTGTATTTTCAAAGTAATACTTAGTTAGTTACTTAGTTAGTTAGTTTTTTCTGGAAAAGGGAAAGGTACTTAATGTAAAACAAAAATTTTGCTTCTTTCTTTCTTCTTTACTAAATTTTTACAGTTTTTTCGCTTAAAAAAAAAAGAGTATAGATTCTTTCTTCTCTTTCTTTCTTCACTCATTTTTTTTGATCTGTTCTCAAAACATACTGTTAACGACAAAAGTTCTGAATTTTTTTCTTTACTTTTTCTATATTTATACCTGTTTTTTTTTAATCAGTAAATATACATTTGTTTTTGTTGCAAAAACAGAAATGTTTTGTTATGAGAAAAACAGAAACAGAAACAGAAACAGAAAAAAAAAAA